ATATATAATACACTAATAATAATAACTGAAGAATAATAAAAAACATTTAAAACATAGGGTCACAGATTAAAAAACACTGGATCAATTTACACTGTGTGAAATCTCTGAGAGAACAGATGTGTTTTTAGCAGAGATTTGAAGTGAGGAATGGAGGTGGTCTGCCTGATGTTGGGGGGCAGGTTGTTCCAGAGTTTAGGGCCCATGACTGAAAAAGCCCTATTTCCTCTGAGCTTCAGTCTTGTTTTTGGAACAGCCAAAAACAGCTGATCGGATGATCTCAGGGCCCAAGAGGGAACGTAAGGTTTCAGAAGCTCAGAGAGGTAAAGGGGTGTGAGGCCATTTAAGCATTTGAAGGTCAACAGAAGAATTTTAAAGACTATCCTCGTACGAACAGGGAGCCAGTGAATTCTGGATGAGCTGAAGACGTGAAATGGAGACCTGGCTAATCCCAGCATAGAGTGCATTGCAATAGTCCAATTGGGTCATGACAAAGGCGTGGACTAGTTTCTGAAGGTCGGGTCTGGACATTACCGGCTTGAGCTTAGCTACCTGTCTTAGCTGGAAGAAGCTTTTCTGCATAACAGAGTTGATTTGTTTGTCAAAATTGAAGTCAGAGTCTAAAACCATCCCAAGATTTTTACCAGACTGCTTCAGATATAGCTGAAGAGAGTCCAGGTTGACAGGATCAGTGGCGGCAGTTGAGCTAGGGCTAAAGACAATGACTTCGGTCTTCTCATTTTTAAAACTTAAGAAATTTGGAGCCATCCAGGCCTTAATGTCATCCAGACATTTTAACAGAGGTGAATGGAGCAAACACTTGCTGGTTTCACAGGCAGGTAGATCTGGCAGTCATCAGCATATCAATAGAATGAAAGACCATGTTTCCTCAGGATGGACCCCAGTGGGAGCAAATAAAGTGAGAACAGAAGGGGTCCAAGAATCGAACCCTGTGGGACCACGCAAGAAAGAGGTAATGAGGCGGATATATTATTACCAACCTTGACACAGAAACTCCTGCCACTCAGGTATGAGCGGAACCATTCTAATGCAGCACCTGTGATCCCAACCCACTGTTCCAGCCGTGATATAAGGATACTGTAGTCAACAGTATCAAAAGCAGCAGTAAGGTCCAGGAGCACAAGTACCACAAATTGACCAGAATCGTTTGATATCATAATGTCGTTACAAACCCTTACTAATGCTGTTTCAGTGCTGTGGAGTTGCTTAAAACCAGATTGAAAAATCTCGAAGATTCTGTTCTCATTCAAAAACTTGTTTACTTGAATGAAAACTATTTTCTCCAGGATTTTGGACAGGAAGGGAAGTTTTGAGATTGGTCTGAAATTTGAGCAAGTCGAAGGGTCAAGTCCAGGTTTCTTAATTAACGGATGAACTACTGCATGCTTGAAAACATCGGGAACCACACTTGTCACAATATTACTGTTTACAATTGTAAGAACAGAGGGTCCAATCGTGGGTAGAACTTGTATGAAAAATGACGCTGGAATGGGGTCAGCGGGGGAACCAGAGGGTTTCATCTGACCAACAACTTTGTTTAGAAATGGGAGTGAAATGGGTTCAAACTGTTTGAAGACAGCTGAGCAAGGGACAAAGACAGAGGGATCAGTTGTGGACTGGGGGATGGATGACCTAATCAACTCTACCTTATCAGCAAAGTATCTGGTAAAGTTGTTGCAGATGTCAACAGAGGCCTCCATACTGGCAGACCGAGGCACGTTTAAAATGGAATTTACGGTATTAAAAAGAACACGGGATTATGACTGTTTGAAGCAATGATTTGGGAGAAGTATTTGTTCTTTTCAGATTTAACGATGCTCTGATAATCTTTCAAACATGTTTTTAACATAATAAAAGAAACCTGTAATTTGTCCTTTTTCCACTTGCGTTCAGCTCTCCTACATAGACGTTTGGCCACTCGAGTGGTCGCGTTCAACCAGGGGTGTGGTGCCCGCCTTGGTCGCCTGATTTTTAGCGGGGCCACGAGGTCTAAGATCTTAGAGCAGGTCGCATCATGCCTACTGAGCAGCTCCTGCGTACTAATACAGGCAGAGGTTTCAGGGACTGAAGCAGCATCAGTAATGAATGCAGAGGAAAAAAGAGCAGCGGTTGAAGAGTTAAATATCCGACAACTCTTGGCTGGAGCGGGGGATTTAGACTCATGAATAACAGAGGTTTGGAATGAAATGGGTTTATGATATGAAACAATAGCATCCCCAATTTCCAGATTAACCACAGATAAACCGTGAGACAGAACTAAATCAAGCGTATGGCCCTGTTGATGAGTTGGACCAACAACATTTTGAACAAGGTTGAAAGATTGGATCAGATTTAGAAACTCCTGCACCAAAGGCTTGTCAGGACAACAAACATGTACATTAAAGTCTCCCAGAATCAAGACCCTGTCGTAACTGAGCAGTATTCCAGTCAGAAAGTCAGAAAATTCATGAATTGATTATTTCTGAATTCAATGAAGTTTTTGTTGTACGAGGGTGGCCTGTAGATCAGGCTGCACAATGTTGGGTTGGAGCGGCCCAGCTCAAAATATAGTAGTTCAAAACTCTGAAAAGCTACAGCCTGTAGCTGTCTGCAGTTCCAGAGCTTTTTAAAAACTGTTAATAATCCACCACACCTACCAGAAGTCCTTGGAGCATTAAAAAAGGCACAATCCACCGTCAAAAGTTCAGAAAAAACACTTAAGTCACCAGGGACGAGCCACGTCTCCGTAACAAACATGAAGTCCAGTCCATTGGAGCAGAAAAAGTTGTTTAAGATGAAGGTTTTATTTGCCAGCGACCTGACATTCAGCAGAGCATTCTTTGTAGGACCAGTAGATGAAGGAAAAGCTGAGCTCGGAGCACAGATCAGCTGTTTCAGATTTTTGGAGTTTGAAGCGCACCTCCTAGGACCAGAGACGCAGCAGCTGTGTGCGCGCCCGCGGCACGGGCCAGGCTCGATTACAGGGATCAGGCAGGACCCAGCAGGATCAGCGAAGCACCCGGACAGGCGAAAATCCAGCAGATGGTTGGCAGGAGATGATGCAGCAGACAGTCCGGAGTTGGTTAAGTTCCTCTGGAGACGGCAGAAACTGCCACGGCTGCACGTGCCTGCTGCGCGTGCCTGCTGCGCGTACCAGGCCCAGGCATCCTGTAGCAGGCTGGAGTTGAGTGGATCAGCGAAGCATCCGGATGGACAGTTTAACGTCTGATGGTCAGCAGCAGATGACGAAGCATCAGAGAGCTTGATGCTGGCTATAATCCTCACGAGACGGCCGGCACGTCTTCCACGGCATCTGGAGCGATGTTTTCGGGCGGGCAGAAACGCCACGCGCTGCAGGTAAACCGGGACATCAACAAGCAGAGGGGGTGGGGGTCCAGAGTCCCGATCAAAGTGGTCGAACAAGGCGGGGTTTGTAGTAGATAACTGTATATTTAAAAGTTGTTGGCGATCATAAACAAGCAGTGAGTTGATGTCACCGAAGAAAAATGACAAAAACAAAAAAAAAAACAATCAAAACAGACAGAGGTGAACGGCAAGCCACCAGCACTGGCGCCATCTTCCCAGAAGAAGAAGATGTTGTTCCAGGAACAATGTTGTTTTCTGGGAACTGCGATGCTGACCCAATGGATTTCTCCAAGTTACATCAGACATTTGGTTGTGTTCTGTGCACGTGTCGCAGCTTTTAAAACTAAACCTGTAAATGAGATCTACGAACAGAAGCTGCTGACTATTGACAAAGGTATCACCCGTTACACTACCATCTTAGAAACATCTTTGAAACTTTCTAAATGTTTCTTTATACCTAAAACTTTTAACTCAGTTGTTGATTGAATTGAAATGTTTTGTTGCTGTTGGTGATTTTCTCCTTTCAGCCTGATGGAAAACTACACCTACAACAGTCAGCTTCTGCAGCTGGAAGGCTTGATGGTCACGGGAGACTCGGTGTACACTGTCTTTTTCTTTTTCCTCCTCTCCTACGTTCTTGTTATGATTTTGAATATGGGTATTTTGGTTCTGATCGCTGTCGATAAGAACCTCCATCAGCCCATGTACATGTTGTTCTGCAGCTTACCGTTCAGTGACATGATGGGATCCACTCACTTGGTACCCCGCCTGCTGTCAGACCTCCTGAAGCCCCCGGCTGAGCGCCTCATCTGGTACCATGAGTGTGCACTTCAGGCATTCATCACTCAGTATTTTGGAGCCACGTCACACACAATCCTCATGATCATGGCCTTCGACAGATACGTGGCCATCTGCAACCCTCTGCACTACTCTTCATTGATGACCAATAAAATGATCATCAAGCTGACGGTTGCTGCCTGGGCGGTACCGATGGTTCTCACAGGGATTCTGATAGGTCTGAGCGTACGACTGAGCCGGTGCCGGACTGTGATTGTGAACATGTATTGCGACAACGCCTCGCTGTTCAAGCTGTCGTGTGAAAATATTGTGGTCAACAACGTGTACGGGCTGACGTTCACCGCGGTTCTGTTCACCTCCTCCATTGGCTGCATGGTTCTGACCTACACTCGGATCGCCATTGTCTGTGTGACCCGTAAGAACCAGTCCGTGAATAGGAAGGCTTTGAAGACCTGCAGCACCCACCTGGTGGTGTACCTGGTCATGGCGTGCAGCGGCTTCACCATCATCATCCTGCATCGGTTCCCTCAGTATTCAGAATACAAAAAATACTTTATGGTTCTGTTTGCTGTTGTTCCTGTTACCCTCAACCCAGTTATTTATGGTTTACAGTCCAAAGAGATCCGTAAATTCCTCTTTGAGTTATTTAAATCCAAGAAACGTTTCCCACTGAATAAAAACAAACAGTAAAGCCAACATTTAGGAGAAAATAATTACAATAAATCAGTTAAAACATGAGAAAACAAGCTAAAATATGGTTTTTTATAGAGTTCTAAATTAATATTTTCTAAATAAATTGAACTAATTCTATCTTTTCTTGTGGAATGGTGGTGCAGTAAAGCTGTTGTGTCTCAGTAGGAAGTTCACGGGTTCAAATTCTGGCTGGTGGCCTTTCTGGGTAGAGTTTGTATGATCTTTCCAGTTTTCATGCATAGACCAAAAACGTGCATGTTGGGCTGATTGTTAACTCTAAATTGTCCCTAGCTGAGAGTGAGAGAATGTTTTTTTGTTTGCTGTGTCTCTGTGTCCCTTTGATGGACTGGAGACCTGACCAGGGTGTCCCCCGCCTCTCGCACAATAACTGCTGGATATGGGCACCAGTGACCCAAAAAGGAACAAGTGGGTAAAGATAATGTATGTATGTATTTATGGATGGATGGATGGATATGCTTATATATTACATTGGTATACACAATTATTTTACTATAGATTGTATGCTAGCATATTTTTACAAATGTCTTTCATGTGAACATCTTCATCCTTGAAAGGCGGTCACTCTTTCAAGGATGAAGATGTTCACATCCTGGACAGAGAGGAACGATGGTTTGAGAGAAGAGTAAAGGAGGCCATCTTTGTGAAAAGAAACCGTCCATCATTAAACAGGGGTGGAGCCTCCAGGTTCAACTGTCCCCCTCTTACAATGCTGTGATTGCTAGTATCACTCAGCCCTCTGTGAATAGTAAACAGCCATCAGGTGCTAATGATCCATTGTTAGGCTGATGGTCCTTCTTGAGCATGTGATCAGCTGGTTCTGGTTGTCAGCAGCAAAACTGGTTGATCCACTCTGAGAAGGTGCTATTTAAGAGACTGAGCTGAAAACAGCTCCTCAGACTGAGGAAGTCTCTTGGATGAGAGATGAAACGTTTCTATATTTTTTTGCTTTGTTTTTTTTTTTTTTTGAATGTCCAGAGGACCAGATTGAACTTTTTTGGATCACAGTTTCCATAGTTTTTCCATCTCCTGCAGCCTCTGCATCATCAATGTTGTGTGAGGATCCCAACTGTCCTGAGCCCACAGACCCAGACACGTCTTTTCCAGATCCTGTCGCTGCACGCAGCCCCCGAGGTGGATCCCGCGCTGCACGCAGCCCCCGTGGTGGCTCCCGCGCTGCTCCTGCTCTGCCCACTGAGGTCCTCACATCTCCTGCTCCGAGTGGGTCCCGGCGGACGCTCCTCACTTCTCCTGTTCTGAGGGGGTCCCAGCAGACGCTCCTCACTTCTCGTGCTCTGAGGGGGTCCCGGCGGATGTTCCTCACTTCTCGTGCTCTGAGGGGGTCCCGGCGGACGCTCCTCACTTCTCCTGCTCCGTGGGGGTCCAGACGGACTCCGCTCCTGCTCCAGATACTGCCGCCGAAGATCCAGCCCCAGATGATCCAGCCACAGAAGAGCTCCTTGCTGCTGAGGTCCTCGCCGCTGACCCGCCTGCTGAGGTCCTCACTCCTGCTCTGCCCGACCTGTTCCTGCCTATTGGGCGACTTCTTGGCCGCCCTCCTGACTGGCCCTGGCCTGGTGAATGGTTGCCTGTCTGACCTCTGTTCTGCTTTTTGGACAATCTCACAGTCCCCTACCTGAACTCTGACCTTCTTTTGTTTCCTTGTGTTGTACCTTGCCCCTGGTGTACCCTGTCCAGTTCTTCGTTCCCCTCGTGTCTTTTTTTTTTTTCCTAATGCCCTCCTCCCTGTTGGCTTTCCCTCTCCTCCCACCCACATTTTGGGGGTGTGGGGGTCTTGGAGACGTCAACGGACGTCCTTGGGGGGGGGTACTGTAGGAGTTGTGCTTTCCCTGGTCTCTCTCTCCCTCTAGTGTTCTATATTTGTCTGCTTCCCCTCTGATGTCTGCACCTGTGTTTCACAGGTGTTCTGTGTTAGTCTCGTTAGTGTGTGTATTTAAGTCTGTTTGCCTGCATCCCTCATGGTCTGGTCATTGTCTCACTGTGATGCCTGTCCTGCTCCTCGTATCCTGCGTCTTGTCCCATGATTCATGTAAGTTTGCTGCCCCGTCAGCCATTTTTATTTTGTAAAGAATAAATTATTTATTTATATTCCTTGAGTCTTGCCTGCACCAAATGGGTAATCATCACACACTGGTAGCAGTCTCCACACCATCCAGGACATCTACTACAGCCGATGTCTACGTAAAGCACACAGCATCATTAAGGACCACACCCACCCAGCACAAGGACTCTTCCATCTACTCTCTTCAAGCAGACGTCTGTCATTGCGTACAAAAAGTATAAAGGACAGTTATTATCCACAAGCTGTCAGATTACTGAACTCTCGATAAATAACACTGAACAACTGACAATAACATTGCACATGGGGAGGCTGTGGCTGAGTGGTTAGAGCAGACGTCCGCCAATTTGAACCCCCAAAGAGTTGGGGGTTCAAATCCACCAGCAGTCGCATACCAAAGTGTCCCTGGGCAAGACACTGAACCCCTCATTGCCTGTGATGTGTGTCCCATCAGTGTATGAATGTGATAAAGCTCTGATTAGTCTCTTTAGAATGATTTGTTCAATTAGCTTTGTAGAGATCTAGTATAGAGCTGTATGAATGGGTAAATGAGGCGCAGATTGTTAAGAGCTTTGAGTTTCTGGATAAGATAGAAAGGTGATATATAAGTACAGTCCATTTACCATTTACCAAGTCACATCTGTGACAACTAATATGACTAATATTAGCTTGTGACACCTAATATTTTTATTGCTAATGCATTATGTGGCTGTATCATGTATGTATCTATTTTACCATCATAATTCATATCAATGTTCCTTAGTAGCTGTGCAATAATCTGTCGCACAACCTGTGTAGTTTGTTAGTTATATGCAGTATACATCATGTGAATTTGATCCAGTCCTAGTGGTGACCCCGTACCCTTTGAGACAAACTCTTCTACCTCGGCAGTTCAGTCAAAAATATAAAACACAACTTAGAGAAATATCAGGAAGAAAGCCAAAAGCTAACAAATTATAAGATTATTGCTGCCTAGAAGAAATAAAGACATGAAAGACATTTATTCCATGCAAAATTAAAACCACTAACTGCCCTGAAGACCAAAGGTGCCCTGAAGAAAAACAAACGGCTGAAAGAGGAAATAGAGAAGTTATGTTCTGATGCATCCAGGTAGAAAAATCAAAAATAGTTAAGTCTGGTCCTCTGGACATTCAAGACAGGACAGAAGTTATGTAGGAGTCAGTGGAGCACTTGGTGCTGTTCATCTCCATCGTTTCTTTGCTGGACCTTAACAAGTTTAAATGTTGGACCAAAGACAGGACATTGTCCACACAGAGATCCATCCATAATCTTTACCTGCTTCTTCATTTTCAGGCTGTGGTGGGGTCTCTAGTGCCCACATCCAGTAGTCCTTTGCAAGAAGTGGGGGACACCACATGTCTCCAGTCCATCACAGGGACACCTGGACAGGTCTCCAATTCATCACAGGGACACCTGGACAGGTCTCCAGTCATCACAGGGACACCTGGACAGGTCTCCAATCCATCACAGGGACACCTGGACAGGTCTCCAGTTCATCACAGGGACACATGGGAACAATTTAGAGTTACCAATCATGTTTTTGATCTGTGGAAGGAAACTGGAGAAAACCCACGCATGCACGGAGAGAACATGCAAACTCCACCCAGAAAGGCCTCCGGACCGGGATTTGAACTGGCGATCTTTACACTGAGAGGTGGCAGCTCTACCAACTGATCCACCATGCTGCAATGTTGAAGACAGTTAAATAATCTTTTGGTTCTTGAAAGAAGTCCGAAGGACTGCTGTGACTGTTATGAACTTCATGTTGCAGTGATCATTGAAACTCGACTCATTTCCTGTGAAAATGCAGCGTACGCTGAAAGATTTATGCTAAAAGCTGGAACACCAGTGAAGTGGGAGACATCTGCTGTGAATCCTGATGACAGGAAGTGTTCTAGCTGAGTGGGTCAGAACGTTTGACCTCTGACCTTCTGAAGATCCTGCTTGGACTTCCCTTCAGTCAACTGAAGAAAAAGCTCCGCTTGAAGTTCTGACCTTCATCTCCAGCTGCTGATTTCAATTTGTCTCAAATCCACGAAGACTCACCACCAGAAATACCCCCCCACACACATATGCACACGTGCACACATGCACATTGTACCTCGGTGTTCTTCACTAAACTACTTTCATCTTTAAATCCCTCCTTGGTCTGCAGCCTTCTTAAATCTCCTCCTCCGTGTCACGCTGTCAGTGCAGTTACAGCGTGCGCTCTCTGGCCTTCATTACCTGCAGCGTCCCCTCAGTGCGGACCCTGATCCTGTTTCCTGGAACACCTTCCAGAAAGAGCTGAAGCTCTCCACCTTGACCTCTCTAAGAAACATCAAAACAAGCGTGTTCTTGTTTTTAGTGTTACTTTGAGTTGACTGTTTTTATAACACTACTTCGATTGTAATTGGATTTTAATGTTTAATTATTGTTGTCTGTTTAAAACAGGTCTCTCTTGTAAATGAGTCCTCGTGACTCAGTGAGACTAACCTGTAGAAATAAAGGTTGAACAGATAAAATCAAGAACCAGAACCTCACACATCCATCTCCTAAAATAAATTCAGATGCAGTGGCCGCTGGTCCACAGGGGCAGGTGGGACAGAGCTCCACTTAAAAAATTCATTCGCCTCACAAAGTAGTTCCTCCTAATAAGTTTATTAACCTTTTATTTAACGAGGCGAATCCCACTGAGATCACAGATTTTTATTGCAAGGGAGGCCTGGACCTCCACAAATGACTTCTGTCCTGTGTGTTGTTCTGTTTGGAGCATTTTTCAAATATTTTAACAATTTTAAGTAGAATTTAAAAATATTTTTAGTGATTCGTCTTCAGTTATTAGTTATTTACCGTCATGGGGTGGGACCGTTCAACGACACGCGTTCCTCGAGCAGATCTGAACGTGTGGCCTGTGATCCGAACAGGCCGGTCCAACAGAGCTTCATTTGGGGCGTCTGATCTTCTGCCTGTGGACACATTCAGCTGGTTTTAGCGCATTGATACGACCTCTACCTGACGTGAGCTCATCCCAGGAACAGCTGCAGAGAAACCTGCTGAGTTCAGCAGTGGAGATATTCAGTTTGGAGCCAACAGATCGGACCAGAACCGAACAGAGGATGGTCAAGGAACAGGAAGTTTCCAGCAACATGGTAGGACCTTCTTGAAACTATTCTTTAATCGTGAGTTTGTTTCTGTGGTGGGTCAGCGGTGGAAGCAGAGTTCTTGAGGGTTTGATTCCCTCTTCAATCTTTTATTTGGTTCGGTGACGAGTTGTCATTTTTCACTTTTACATTATTTTAGTTACTTCACTGAACTTTTGTCTCCCTTTGTTATTCTGGAGGTTTTTCTTCTTCTCTACTTCAAATCAAACAAGAAACCCGATTCAGAAAGATGTGCACCTGCTGGGTGGGGGTGGAAGGTGTTTCTCTGATTTATTAGACCCGACTGTTTTTCACCAGACACAACCTCGACCCACGGGAGAAGAAAGGCAAAATCTTTGTGGACACACAAAAACCAACAAGAAAGTAATGTCTGCCCCACTAATATTTGTACTCAGGAGCCGCCACTGTTCACATGTCATTTCTGTCAATAAATGAAGTTTCACGTTTTGATTTTAGGATTCCAAATTTTATTACACATTTTGAGGCTATAAATGAGGAAAAATACACAAATAAACAAGAAATACATTATTGATAAAACATTGTGCAAAAAGTGACAAGAAATAACCTGGTTTCTCAGACTGAAGAAGTCCTTTGGATGAAGGATAAAACGTCTCAGAAAAGAAAAGACACCGTCCAAATGACCTGACCGAACATTGTTGGGTTTGTACCTGGATTATTGAGCACGGGCGTTGGTGACAAGAAATAATTCACAAATGTGCAACAACCTGTGTCACATGTACAGATTATTGTTTAATGGATTTTTTATTCAGTGATTACAAACACAAAATAAAACAAAGTGAAAATAAATGTCTGATGGTGCATTAACAGACTAACTTTGGTGAAAAGATGAACACAATCCTTCAAAGACTTCACTTTAATTCATGATTACATCTTCAAACGTCTGTGTAACTTTCGGTTGTAACTCAGAAATGACAAACCTTTAAAATAATAAAGAATTTAAACTTAATTTGTTGTTAAAAGATTGAAAGAATAAGCCTGCCTTCAGTCAGACTTTGCAGAGGACATGACGTCACCTGGAACACGAGAGCGCTGCAGTTCAAGTGAAGACCAGCAGGTGGCGACACCTGACAGCTACACCAACACAAAGCTTTTATTTAGAAACTTTTTACTCCTTTAAAAGGCTCTGATTAGCTTAACTAAAAACATTTTAAAGAACAGTTTTAGTTTTTCAGGAACATTTAATTTAATCTCAAAATTATTTTCACAGTAATGATAATTGATCAAACCTGGGTTTATCTGGCCATTTCTGGTTGGAATGGAAAAAAGTTGGTTTCTGATCCTGATTCAAGATGGCTGCCACAGGTAATGAGGGCTTCAACTCATTCAGTTTTACAGGTACCAAGGTAAGCCTTGGTGTGGTAGTAGCTGAGTCGTCCCTAACAAACCCTCTGAGCTGTAACTGGTCTCAGTTTGAACTTCAGCGTTCAGCGCTGCGGGTGACGTCCTGCTGGGTTCATCATGGTGGATACGTCCTCGTGGTCCACACAGTCTGAGCCCATGGCTGGGTCAGATGGCCTTGCCCAGGATGAGGATGCTCATGAAGAAGAACATGATGAAGAAGAGCCACATGAAGAAGCGGTCCATCACCTTGGCAACCTTCCTCCACTCAGCGATGCGGAGCTGTGCCGCTCGCTGCTCCTGGTACGAGCTGGCGATGAACTCGATGTTCTTACGCAGTCTCTGGTGCTGGCATGCACTCTGCGTTCTCACCAAGATCTCCCTCAGGTTCTCTGTGACTCCGCCTCCGATGCCTTTTGTCTCCTTCGTGTACTCCCCCCCTCCTCCCCTTCCGTCATGGTTGGACTCCTCAGCTCCGTCCCCCCGTCCTCCGGCAGAGCCTTTCTCCTCAGAGTGGTCGATGGTCACGAACAGATCCTCCTCCCAAAGGTTCTGCTTGGTCAGATCTTGCTCCCCACTCACAGACTCCTCTCCCCCTTTTTCCTCACCTCTCCCTCCCCACGTCTGTCCGTTTATGTCCCAGTTTGTCCCCCTGCTGTCTCCGGATGGGATGTCAGACTCATCCTGAGACAACGGTTGTGTCTTGGATGAGGATCCTCTGAAGCAGCTCTCGCCGACCTCACTGACGAAACAGATTCTGGCCAGATAGTTCAGGACGAAGCGCTCGACCCAGTGTGGGACGGGTTGGGCCTCGGGACCACAGTGGTGGACGTTCATGATGAAGATGGTGAGGGCTGTGGATGCAGTGACCATCATCATGGTGGCAATGTAGTACTTTCCTGTTGAAATAAGGACATGGATACATATTTAGGTCCAGATTTCTACTGGTGCTGACCCTGTTTCAACACTGGAACCATGAAGGTCCACCAGCGAGCTGCAGTGATCTGTGGTACCTTCTGACTTGCACATCAGTCCAGAAGTTCATGTTCTAGTGGATGAACCTACTGATTTAAAGAGGTTCTCCAGACTTTAAATTCTGTCCTTAGTCACAGAGTTGAGCTCAGACAGCGCTGAAAGCAGATATAGCTGGTCTGAGACAAGACCACCTTCAGAGGTCTGAGACAAGACACCTTCAGGGGTCTGAGACAAGAGCACCTTCAGGGGTCTGAGACAAGACACCTTCAGGGGTCTG